TGGGATGCAAGGCTGGTTCAATATACGGAAATCAATAAATGTTATTCACCACATCAATAGACTTAAAAATAAGAACCATATGATCATCTCGATAGAGGCTTGTGAGATTTTATAGGAGAAGGAGGACTCTGTTAGAAATTGGACTAGAAGCCATTTGTATTATATTCTAGCTAAGAAGTTGCCTGAATTTTTGCTCATATCATAGACTCCTACTCAGAGCAATTAGTCAAGAAAAATAAATAGGAGGATTTCAAATTGGAAGGAATGAAGGAAAATTTTCTTTGCCGATGTCATGATCTCATATGTAGAAAATCCTAAAGCCTCTAGAAGAAAAACCCCATTAGAACTAATTCAYGGATTCAGTGAGGTTTTAGGATAYGAAATCAGCATACAAAAATCTGAACACCAACCATGAACTATCTGAAAAGGAAAATGGATTAAAGACTTAAACATAATTTCTGAAACTCTAAAACCCCTAGAAGAAAATAAAGAGGAAAAATTCAATGACATTGGTGTGGGCAGTAATTTCTTTAATAGACAAAAAGCACAAGGCAACAAAAGCAACAATGGAGAATGGGGCTACCTCCAGCCAAGAAGCTTCTATGCAATAAAAGAAACAACAGAGTGAATAGATAACCTACAGAAAGGGAAAAAAATATTTGCAAATCATATATCTGATAAGGGATTCACATTTAAAATATATAAGGAATAACTTCAACTCAAGCAACAACAACAAACTAACTCAATTAAAAAATAGGCTAAGACTTGAGTATGTACTTCTTTGAAGAAGATATACAAATGATCAGTAGGTGTTTGAAAATATGCCCAACAGGGGTTGGGGATGTGGCTCAAGAGGTAGCGCGCTGGCCTGGCATGTGTGGCCCGGGTTCGATCCTCAGCACCACGTACAAATAAAGATGTTKTGTCTGCCGAAAACTAAAAAATAAATATTAAAATTAAAAAAAAAAGAAAATATGCCCAACATCTTTAATCATCAGGGAAATGCAAATCAGAATCAAAATGAGATACTATCTCACAGTTGTATTAGTATAGCTGTTATCAAAAAGTCCAAAGATCACACATTTGTCAGGGGTGTAGAGAAAGTGGGACCCTTGTACACTATTGGTGGGAATATAAAATGGTGTAGGCAYTTTTGGAAATAGCATATTTATTAAAAATAACAGGAAAATCTTATCCCTTCATGCATGTTTTGATCTCATCCCCATACTTGTTTGATTATTACTCCTCCATCTTCCCAGAGATTCATCACCCTATTTTAACTAAGCAGTGTTTATGTTAGGATAGGTGCTTTGACTTAAGTTGATATTTGTTTGTAGTGAGAAAAAGTGTAATAATATTTATTGTGTACATAAATATAAATAATTTTTTTATTGTTTTGTGTAACAAAGTACTTCTATTTGCTTTTTTTTTTTTAATAGATATCCCTGTTAAAGACAATGAACCTGAAATTACTCCAAGTGAGGTAAGGGAAGTTGGAAGAAAATGTCTAATAGTCATTATTTTATGAAGGGGTGAAATGCTTGTTTTTTGTTTTGTTTATACTAGGAATTGAATCTAGGGCACTTAACCACTGAGCCACATCCCCAACCTTTTTGTACATTTCATCTAGAAACAGGGTCTCACTAAGTTGCTTAGGGCCTTGCTAAGTTGCTGAGGCTGGCTTGGAACTTGTGATCCTCTTGCCTCAGCCTCTAGAGGAACATGCCTGGGATAACACACCCAGCAGGGGTGAAATATTTGTGAATGGAGAAATAGTTACATATGTAAAGAAAAAAAGCACCTGAGAAATTATTCAGTTGTTTCATGGTTATTTCTATATGAGAACATTTATACCATTGTACAATTTTTTAAAGTTAAATTGCCCTCTGAAAATATTGGTTTCAGCATAAAACAGTAGCCCTTAAGAATATATATGAAGATAGGAAACAAAAAAGGTTTTCAGGAAGAGAAGAAAGGAAGATAAGAACTAASTATGAAATTCTACATAAGACCTTAGACATGGTTGCCATAGACCTACCCACATTCTGGGCTCTTTCTCACCAAATCTTTTAATTTATCATATTATAAACTTTGTTCATGGAATAATATCATGTATTTTACAGTAAAAATCAGCAAAAAGAAATTCACTTAATATAATTTGCTCTTCAGCTAATTTTATAGCAGGCATCCATTCTATTATAACAGTAGATCCCATGTAAACAATAGGAAAAGTTTTTTTCTACTGCTTGACAAGTAGGATTTAATGATTTCCATTTTTTGGTCAGAGGCTTATAAATACAAATTTGAAGAATCAGTGTGTACTGTCTTTCCCAGTTCAAGGAGAGAAGGAAAAAAAGTGAATACATTGAATTTTTCATAAAGCTGAATTTATTTAACTAAACAGGCTATCCTTTACTTTATGACATGATTCTTTGTAGTACTTTGCTACTAAAGTTTCCTTTCTTTTATATAATATCTTGTTATTTTATAATATTGTTCTTTGTGTTATTATGCTATTAAAATTTCCCATGTTTCATAACATATTGGTGATAGTATAACACTAAAATGTCAGATCCCAGATTTTCTTTTTAAAGATRTTACTGATTATAAAATCCTGACCTAAGAGAACCATTATTTTATAAGCCACTGTTTTATCTAATTCTGATTCCAGAATTAGAGAATTTCTCATTCCTTTTGTTAATTAATGTAGTCATTACCATGTAGTCATGGTAACATGATAAAGGATAAGGGTACAATCGATTTTAATTTGTTTTCAGTACTTTCTAGTGAATAACATTTAATTAGTAGCTTGTTTTATTGCTATATTTTCTAGTTGCTGGGTGATGATAATAAAGAAGGCGTACCTCCATCAACTTCGAGCCTATTGGACCAAGATTATTCAATTCTTGCTACTCCTGAGAGTGTTATGTCAACACCTCTACCCTCAGACTCTCTACTGCCCTCYATTCCTAGGCAGGAAAAAACCCTACTGGAAAAAATACCATTTTTCAGTGAAGGCCAATCAGAAGTCATGCCAGAGGAAAGGAGAAGTATACCATTTCTAACAGATGCAAAATCAGATGACACACATCGAAGCATTTTAAAAGCAATTTCAGCTCTATCAGAGGTAAAGTTGAGTAGTATCTGTATGGAGCCAGAGTCAATAAGGAGGAGGAATTTGGCTTCATCTTCAAGAGGAACTAGGTGGCAAAGCTGCTATCTAACCTTAGCTGAAAGGAAGAACACAAGCTTAGTTTCCCCAGATTTGAAATTGAAAGGTAGCTTTCAAAGCCATGATTTAGAAGATCTTGAATTAGCCTATCTTCATATTTGAAGTACAGACTAGTGGGAAAATGATTTATTTTTAAAAAAATTAAAGACAAATAAATTGAAAATATATTCATATGTCTCTAAGTAGAAATGTGTCTAAGGGTATTAAATATTTCTACACCCAGTTTTTACTGATAAATGAGGAAAACTTTTGAAGAAAAAGCAAAGTGATCTGAGATACAAATTAWATAAACTAATCTCCTAGGCGCATGCAAAATTCTGCTGAAAGTGTTACTTTTTTAAAGTTCATTTTTAAAATTAACATCAGTAGCAAAATATAAATTCAAAGGAAATGTAAAAGCCTGGGAAGTTATTTCAGTAGAAAAATTAATAAAACTGTTGTATTTTATATTACAGAAAATAGTATATGTTATCCTTGTTACAAATAATGTTATACTTTTAAAAGAATATAAATTTAAAGGTACACCAGAGTAAAGCCTTTCTCAAAATGATAGTATTTTGCTTAGATCTTTGCATCCCATTTGAATCACTATTACAGGTAGCTCTTTTTATTTTGGTACCAGGGATGAAACCAGGGATGCTCTACCACTGAGCTACATCCCCAGTCCCAGTGCTGTCCCACCTTTATTTTTTATTTTGAGACTGAGTCTTGTTAGGTTGCTCAAGTTGGCCTTTAACTTTGTGATACTCCTGTATCAACCTCCAAAGTAGCTGGAATTACAGGTGTGTACTAAAGGTAGCTCTTTAAAAAACAGTATGAAAAGGTGTATGGATCAAGTAAGGGTTCTAAGTAAGGCTCTGCTTCTAAATATTTCAGCTAGCTTTGTCACCTAAATCTGTAGACCTATTTCCTCATCCTTTGATATATCAGACCAGATCATTTCTAAATTCCCTTCCAAATTTCAAAAGATACAATTTTATTAAATATCTCTAGCTAGGGAGTTATTCTTTTTACTAAACAAGAAAGTAATKCATGATCATATAAAATTTAGAAAGTTTATATTTTATTATATCTATTTATAGATCTATCTTTATCTTCATTATGCCTATATATATTTTAATTTTACAACTTGGATAAAACTATACATATAATTTTATATTTTGCTTTTATGAGTTAACATTATAAGCACACCTGAATTTTCAAAAATTTGTAAGATGCAAAATATCCTCAAGTATGGTTATTCTATGATTTTTTTAAGACAGTTTCCATATTCTTGAACATTTTTTAAAGTTTGAAATTGGTGTTCTTTTACTATTTATTTGAATATGTGATTATCTAATAATACAGAAATGGTATGTTGACAAATTACTGTCCAGAAAGATTATATGACTTTACATATTCACCAGCAGTATTTGAGTATTAACAGTCTCTAAATAATGATTAAAACCTTTTCATGCTTAATAGTTATTTTCATTTTCCCTATAAGTAGAAGACCATGTCCTTTGTCTATTTTTTCCTCTTTTGAAGACATATGGATTATATATTTTTAAATTATTTCTGTTTAAGAATAGTGACAACTTGCATAGTCAAGTACTTTTCCATAGTTTGTAGTTTGCCTTTGATTTTATTCAGTCTGACTTCCAAAATGTTCATTTTTCATTTCATAAATAATTTGTTGCTGCACAACAAACCACTCTAAAACTTAGTGACTTAAGACAGTTATTATCTCTCAAGATTTTGTTGGACTGACTGTGCTTAGCTGAGCACTTTTGTTTCACATGATATTGGAAATTTGTTGGACTTGTGGTCATTTAGGGGCTCGATTGGGTTGAAATACTTAACGGTGGCTCACTTACATGATTGACACTTTGATGGGAACAGCTGTAAGGCTGGGCTGAGCTGGGCTATTTGGACATCTAGATTGATACTGCATATACTTTCTCAGGAATTGGCCCTCAACTGTGATCTCTTGTRGTCTATGTGGTCTTTTTAACAAGGCAGCTGAACTTATGTGGCAGCTGAGGCCTTCCAAATTACAGAAATAGAAGCTTCAGGACCTCTGAAAACTTTGGCTTCATACTAATTCAGGTTTATCTCCTCTGAATCTGTTAGTTATAGCAAGTGCCAGACTTAGTTCAGTATGGAGTATAGCAAGTGCCAGGCTTAGTTCACAGAAGGGTATGAATCTTGGGAGGTATGGTTCATTGTGGACCATATTTGGAGATTAACTACAGATTTTTAATTACTTAGCAAGTAATTTCCATCCCACATGCAAAATGTATTTATTTCCCTTCCCATATCCTCAGTCTTYATGCTATTACTGCATTAAGCTTGGGCTTGAAATACAGAATTTCAGCATCTAAACCAAGTCCAGATGAGAGAGGCTCCTTGGTTGTGGTACCTCTCAGTTTTGAAATCTGTGAATTTATCAGTTTTCTATCCCCTACATACAATAGTGAGTCCAGAACAGAAAAACTGGAATAGAAACGTAGGATTCCAAAGATGGAGGAGGGCCAACATGAAACATGTAGCTGTCAGTAGACCATAATAATTCTGAAGTTCTTGGCTTTTCCTCAGATTAATCTTTTTCCATAAGGAAGAACTTCTGTTTGTAGTTGAATATCTTTTCAATTTGTGTTCTGCCTGAAAGTTGGGGGTTTGAGTGTCTCTTTTTACTTTCAATTGTTCCTATTCTTTTTTTGAGGGGGTACCAAGTATTGAACCTCAGGGATACTCAACCCTTGAGCCACATCCCCAGTCCTGTTTTGTACTTTATTTCTAGACAGGGTCTCATTGAGTTGCTTAGTTAGTGCCTTAATTTTCCTGAGGCTGGCTTTGAACTTGTGATCCTCCTGCCTCAGCCTCCTGAGCTATTGGGATTATAGGTGGGTGCCATGGTGCCCAGCTGTTCCTGTTCTTTTCAGTTCAAGATACTATGATTCTTTTTAAAGATTTTGTKGTCATTTTATGTAATAAATTCTGATCTTAATTAGGCAATTATCATACCCCTGTATATCTTTAAGAAAGGCCTATATTTCCTTGAGTTGAGAATCAGAGTACTGTGACATAACATCCTTAAGAATTTTAGAAATGTTCCTGTCTAGCAGAGAGGGATTGAGATGCTACCTAAAATTYTGAGAATAAATTTTATCTTCCTCAGTGGGTCTATGAGGTACAACCTTACATCTTTTTGAGATTTTAACAACAAATCTTATATCCATACCCCTGTGATCTTGACCTTGACAYCACACTTTACTGGTATTGCTGTAGATTTGATCTTCACCCTGAGGTCATTTCCTACTTTGATGGTCATTGACTAGGAGAGGTGTGTATGAGACACACTTTTATATTCCAGAAAAATTCTGGTTCATAAATATTTCTCCTGGATTCTGCTAGAAAAGGTCACTTCTTTTTATTTGTATTTTGTAATAGACATCTAAAAGAATCCATTTGTCACTTTCATCATGCTTCCTAGAAATTTCTGTAGCCAAATACTCAGTGCTTTTATTTCCTGTTAACACAGGGAGCAGGGTTGCCACACTTTTCACAACTAGAAAAAGTTGGTTACCATTTTTGTCCCTAGTAAAAATTACCTACATGTCCTTCCAGCATTATCTAACAGTTTTATTGAAGCTCCCTCGGCTATTGTCTAACATGCAGTCCCCAAATAAATTGCAMTGTTTTAGGTTTTTGTTGTGGCAGCAATCTATCTCTAGGTACCCATTCTTATATATTTGCGCGCCAAACCACCCCAAAGCTTAAGTGTCTGAAAACATTTTTACCACCATGCCTTTGGTGTGTTGATTGTACTTATATGGGAAGTTCTGCTTCACATACAGTCTTCTGGGACTTTCCTAAATTGTCCCCAAGATGACTCATTCATATATCTGGTGCCTCATTGAAAATGACTGGAAAGTTTATCTCAATTAGGATCCTGAGATGAATGAGCCTTGTAGTCCATGTAGTTTCATAGTCTTTCCTACTCTAGTGGCCTCCATGTGTTTATTTACAGTAGGGTAGCCAGACTTCTTATATGATAGCTTAAGGTTTCAGTCAGAATTATATTTATATTTAACATAAAAGTATATGTAATCTACCCTGTAATATCTTCAGGTTCCACGTCCACAGATTCAATTAATTGCAGAATGAAATTATTCTAAAAGAAAATATATCTGCACAGAACATGAACAGATTTTTTTCTTGACATTTTCCCTAAGCAATGCAGTATAACAAGTTTTTTCATGGTATTTAAATAGTATTGATTATTATATGTAATCTAGAGATGACTTAAAGTATAACATGAGGATAGGTGTAGGCTATATGCAAATACTATACATTATTTTGTAAAAAGGTCTTGAGCATCTCAGAATTCTGATATCATCAGAGTACCTGGGACCACCCCCCTCTGGATACCAAGGGACAACTATTTGAATTTATTCTGTAGTAGGATGGCTAATAGTACCCAAAGATATCATATTCTAATCACTGGATCCTGTAAATGTTAACCTTATATGACAAAGACTACAGGTGTGATTAAGTGGTGGACCTTGAGATGGGGAAATTATAGTAAGTTGCCCAGGTGGGTACCATCCTTACATAAGAGGCAGAGGAAGAACATACCTATTGCCTCACATACATTTTTTCATTACATAGAYTTAAGGTATACAGCATGTTGTTATGAGATACTTATAGGAAGTAAAAATGTTACTGGATCAGTCAGGTTTCTGTAGCTGTGACAAAATACCTGAGAAAAACAATCTAAAGGAGGAAAGGTTTATTTTGAATTATAATTTCAGAGGTTTGAGTCCATAGTCAACTTGACTCCATTTTGTTTCAGTCTGTGAGAAGGCAGAACATCAAGGTGGCAGGACCTGGTGGAGAAAGCAGCTCACCTC